TGACTTAACTGAATATTTTTATATTTTTAAAGAAATGTGTCTCCAAATCCAATTGACCCTATGGAGCTGTGGCTAGATGAAAATTGTCAAAAATTCAATGCTCTTAAAAATGTATTTGGGTCTGTTATCGTAAATTCCAAAACTTACGCCATTTAAAGTGAAAACTCTGTGAAGAGTGCTTGAAATTTCTTGGTTTATCAAGCGCAAGGTTTTTAGAATTGCAAACTTTGGTGTAAGCTACGGTGGAGGTACTATAATAATGTATGAAAGAATTGAACTTAAATGCGACTAAAATTAAACTGTACATGCAAGTTGCACGGCGGCAGTTGCAGAGGTTTGCACGATTTAAATACAATTTTTTAAATTATTATTACTATTATTTACAAAATTTTATCCTTTAGTTTCCTCCTTCATTTTGCACTTCCTGCAAGATGCAGCTTATATAATCGGGGTATTTATCTGGGGCAAATCAATGAAAAGTATAGGTATGTTCCTGTAACTGTCTGTACCAGGCTGAATTGGGACAATCAATATGACGTTTTTATAATGTAAAGATTCTATTCATTTGCTGTCAATGTCAACGCTTACAGTTGTGGCGTAAGATGGATCCACAAAGTGATGTGAGTAGTTCACCACCGGCAGTAGATCCTTTTGAAAAGTTGGCATTAAGCAGTTTAAATGACAAAGGTCGTAGCATCACAGTAAAATTTACAACAAACGACGGCACAGTTTTCACACAAACATATTCGTCAAAAATAAAAATATCTGAAATTAAAGACATTTTGGAAGATGTGTTTGGTACTACCGCAGATAACATGTTAATTAAAGAAGGCCGCTCACTTGTCAGCGATGATAAGGTACTTAACGAATTTAACGTTGGCGATTTTAATATGTTAGAGTTGTATCTTTATTCGAAAAATCCCGACTTTACAATTTCTGCTACAAATGCTTACAAAGAATTTGCAACAGTTCCCGATGTTATTACAGTACACATGCTCGATTCCGACGCAGAGGATGGTTGGCGTGATATTGTTGTTGAAATGATGAACCAATGCATTGAAAAACCGTTTATTGGAGGGTATGTGAATAAAGATAGCGGAGTTGAATACCATCATGGATACTCTCAGACAGGGCCTCCTAAACCAAAAGTTCATCATATGCAGAAAAGTCATAGAGATACACAAACTTATTTTTTGCGAAATCGTCTTTTAGACACTAACTATGCACAAGCAACTCAAATGGCAAAAGAAGACTTGTGGATTCCGTCAATTACAGATAGAATTTTAGTAGCTGGACCTTACGAAACAGCCGAAGAATGGGAAAAAAGAAGAGATGTTGAAAGGAAAGTGCGTACCATTCAAAGGTTGGTGAATTTTTATATACACAGTGTCTTGTTTAAGATTTGTTTGTTTATTTTATTATAAAATTGATATACCTTAGAGTATAGGACAAATATAGGTAATATTATTAGAAACACAAATGGTAGAGGTCAATTTTTATTGCGTGTCTTTCAAAATCATTATCAATTCTATTTTTGATTCAGTAGGTACTACTATGCTATGCTATAATACAAAAACAAATTATGATAAGTAGGTATGTGAAATATTCATTTGGTATTTTTGTATGGCTGTTGGCTTTTTATCTTGGATGTAATATTTTTAAACATAAGATATACGATTGCTGGTTATTTTTTCATTTTCTCAAGGTATTTTCGAGCTTGGAAGATCAGAAAAGCCCTAAAAGAGCTATGTGCCGAATATAAGAAGCGCATTCGACTAGAGGAAGAGTTGAACGATTTTTATAAACAAGCTGATGAAGATAGGAAGGCACAAGAACTTGTTGGAAAGGTTTTTCCTAGAACTAAAGAAGATTTTATTATGTTATACGCTATGGTTGATCGATGGAAAAAATCAGAAATTAAACGCATTTGTTATAGCTATTCAGGACCTGCCAAAATTTCATCGTTTTTTATGTTGCTCGATAAGGAAATACAAATGTTAAGGGCAATTGAAGCTCACAGACATCAAATTAAAATGGAAATGAAAATTAAGAAAGAACACGATTTTTTTAAGACCATTGGAAATCCGATAGAGTGGAATAAACATTACAAAGATTGGACAAATAAAGCCATAGACTTCAATATTCAAATGGATACCTTAGAGACGCAACAGGGAAATGAATACTACAACATTTTCTTATCGTTAAATGATATTGATGTAGGAGTAGAGGAGAAAATTCAAGCCTTACTGAACTTGAAATTATTGTTATGTGACCATAATTGCTATTTATCCAATGAATTGGTGGAGTTAATTGACCGAGCTTGTGAATTGATGGTAAGAGGTATTAATAGAAAGCACTTGGATATACTTATGAAACGCATCAAAGGATTATTTATCAAACACATTAAAACTCCAGAATGCAATAATGGAGTATGTAAGCGGATGCTCCGAATTAAGGAGAAAATTATGCACTCCAATCTATATTGTTGCAACAGATGCGGAAAATTAAAGTGTCATTCAGAATTCCCTGCAAATTCTCAGTTAGAGAAATTCCAAGTTTGTTTAACCTGTACCTGGGATGATCGTGTAATGGAACCGTGGGTGGATGTGGCCCCGTATCGTTTCATATTACGTTTAATACGCCACGAAGAAAAACTGAAACTTAGTGAATCGTCTATTGCGTTTATCTTGCAACCCAAGGATATTCACTATATTGTGGTTAAAATTTGGCATGGCCATTCAGCACTCACGGAAGTGACAGACATATACAACTTGCGTTTATGTAGGTGGTTCATCGATCAAGAATGGGCGCCATGGAACTGTGTTTTATTAACAACCGAGGAGATGAAGGTGCATTATGAAATTAAAAACTTGGAGGATGTTTATGATCTTCATTTTTTGCATCGTGTGTTTAACAAGCATGAACTAGCTAAGCAACATTTCAAGATTGCTCTAAAACTAGAAAATTATTTTCAAGAAGTTGGAGAGAATACTAAGCGATGGCATGAAATTAAAAATTTCAAAGAGTTTATTGCTGTACACAGTAAGACGCATGTGTTTGCAAAGTGTCATTAATTAAAAATGTTATCTTGTGGAATATCAATAAATTATTGAAATAATAATATGTTGTTAAGTACTTTTTGCTTTTACATGAATAAAAAACTTCATTTTCGTGTGCGATACATGTTACTTTAAGGCCTACTGTATTGAAATGCATCAGGATCTTTAAGATAAGCAGATGTCACAGATAGCGCCCTCTTTCAAATTTCCGGCACTAACTGCAACTATTTTATTTACAAGATTAGGTGAAAATTTGTATAATGGTGGAAGAACTTGCGTGCCCTCCTCTTTGCTTACAGAAATCTTTTAATTAACAAAATCAAAATGCTTCTATATTGTATGCAGTTAAACAAATCTTCTATTTTGTTAATTTAGTTAGAAGTATGTTGTGGAGGTGCCCTATCCATTTATGTTTTTTAACCAAGAGTTATATATCTATAATAGTGCACATATCGGAAGAAAGACATTCTTTGATTTAATGAAATGTTATCTTTAATAGACAAAATGGAAGAAAAAATCATTTGAATATAGTTTTGAGTGAGTTCAGGGTCCCCTTTGCATTGCACTATACAACCCATTCTTTTTGTAATACACGAATTACCTTTTGGAAAAGCCAAAAACTGAATCTGCGATCCATTTGCTTTCGATTTGTTGGAGCTGCTATTGCATATAACAACGTCACAAAGATTTCCATCCGGCATCTAATACCCTATATTGATACCTACTTAAGTAACAGCATTGAATTTATAACTAAATTCAATGGTAACAGTAAGTATTCAATCGAATTATAATAAGTATACGTAATAGATTCTTCAGCACTGTCTGACAATTAAGTACTTACACAGTTCAAATATAACTGTCAAAGTCATTGAGTTAGAAAACTAAGTCAAAGTCAACAAAAATTTAAACACCAATCAAATGGGACCTCCGGATTCTCGATGACGCGTCTCTCTAAAGTTACGAGGCAACCTCCTGTCTCTAGTAACCTTGGTCGCCACTGTACTATTTACAACTCTGTGGTGCATACTCTCACTTTTTGTCCCGCGCCAACAGTCATCTATTCTCAAGAAATATCGCTCCCCAAATCATAACTGCTGGTGTACGGGCAGTATGGCGCCCTGCAAAAAACTTGTATACTATAACTGAATTATGAATTTAATTAACCACANTATATATATATAATAGTCGGGACACCGTTCTACCGTTAGGTGTACGGTGAAATACATTACATTACTATACAATACATTTTATACACTGTCATGTACGAATCTTGTCCACTCCTTTCTGTCTCTTGCCAGGTTTCTCGCTTCAGTCCAGGATTTTCCTCTTTTCTTTAATGTCTTTCCAACCGTATCTTCCCACGTCTGCCTTGGTCGACCTCTTCCTCTCTTGTGTTGGATTTTCGCTTCCCATATTTGCTTAACTTGTCTCCCATCGCTCATTCTCTGCAGGTGGCCCCACCAACTCAACTGTTTGCTCGCTATGAATTCTGTTATCGGCTGTACTTGCAACTCTTTTCTTACATCTTCATTCCGTATGTGGTCTCTTCTTGTGATTCCCTTCACTCTTCGCAGATATTTCATGTCGATTGTCTGTATTTTACCTAGTTCTTTTCTCCCTAACGTCCATGATTCGCTGCCATACGTCAGAATTGGTCTAATATTACCTTGTACACCATCATCTTTGTTTTCCTGGATACTTCTTTCTTGCTAATAAAATTCTTATTTAGTGCATAATACATTCTTGCCGCTTTTTGAATTCTTTCATTAATTTCTCCTTCTTCGTTTCCTCTGTCGTCGATTTGTACGCCAAGGTAGGTATAGTGTGTCACCTGTTCAAGTTTTTCTTCTTCAATGTAAATATGTAACTCGTGTGGTTCTTGTGCTATTGACATTACTTTTGTCTTGTTTTTATTAATTTTCATTCCATTTTCTGCTAGAATTTTATTCCAAACGTCCAAGTTGTCTTGAAGGTCCTTTTGGTTTTTGGCAGTAATTACAATATCGTCTGCGAATGCACATGCTGCAATCTCTATTCTTGTCATGCTTTTGTATCCGACGTGTAGTTTTTTATTTATCTTTTTTTGACACCGTTTGATAATGTTGTCCATAAATATGGTGAATAATAGGGGACTCATGACTCCTCCCTGCCGCAATCCTGCTTTGGTCGTAAAGCTTTCTGATTTTAGATTTCCTTTTATGACACGATTCTTACTATTCTGATATAAACTTTGTACTACTCTTATTAATTTTCCATTTTCTCATACAAAATTTTCCAAACTTTCTTGCGAGGCACCTTATCAAACGCTTTTTCTAAGTCTATAAAGGCGAAACATGCATTACTTTTCTTTTGTGCCGTCTTTTGAATAATTTGCTTTATGGTGAATATGTGGTCTTGGGCACTTCGGCCTGGTCTGAATCCGCTTTGTGGCTCGCTTAGAGTTGTTTCGATTATCGTTCTTAACCTTCTCTCTAAAATACGCTCGTATAATTTTAGAGTCGTACTTAGAAGTGTTATACCCCGGTAATTGCCGCAGTCGTGTGGGTCTCCTTTCTTAAATATTGGTACTACTAATCCCTCGTCCCAATCTGTTGGTACCGTTTCTTCGTTGAACGCTTTATTAAATATATCCAACAGCATTTGTCTGCCTTTACTCCTAAGTTTTTTAACATATCTCCCGTTATCTTGTCATGTCCAGGTGCCTTTCCTAGTTTTATTTTGCGTATCGCCTCCATCATTTCGTTTAGTGTGATAAGATTTTCCTCTTCATCCTGTTCTCCTACTGCCCTTGGAAATTCTTCGGAGTCTTCTTGTGCCTCTTCTAACAATTCTTGAAAATATTCTTTCCATCTGTTCATTATGTTTTCGTCTGTTGTTAATATCTCTCCTTCTCTGCTTCTAATTGATACTGTATTTCTGGTTTTTCCTTTTCTTAACGTTTTGATCATCTTAAAAAAGAGTTTCTGATTGCCTTTACTTTCTTCCTCTATTTTCTCACCAAAATCCGTCCAAGCTCTCTGTTTAGCATCTATGACTAATCTTTTGACTCTTTCACGTTGTTGTTTATATTCCATGTAATCCGCGATAGTTCTGGTACTCAAATATTTTTTCCATTTTCTTTTCTTATTTCTTACTTGTTCCTTTATTTCTTCATTCCACCAAGCTGTCTGTTTCTTGTTCTTGACTGTTCTACAAGTTCCGCATACCTGCTTTGCTATCCTTAGCACCAAGCATTTGAAGGTTGTCCACATCCCTTCAACCCTGCTATCCACAGACCCGCAACTTTGTCTTTCTATTTCAGCTTCTAGTAGCCTAGTGAATTCTTCTGCAAACCTTTGTTCTTTTAGTTTGTACGATTTAATTGTTTCTGCTACTGGTATTTCTTGTTTCCTCCCTCCTTCTCCCTGTTTTGCTCCGATCTTTCCTTTTATCTTGGATACTACCAAATAGTGGTCACTATTTATTTCTGCTCTTCTCGAAACTCTTGTGTCGTTTATGTTTCTTCTGTTGTCTATTTCTGCTAGTATGTAATCAATGATGGACTCTTCTTGCCTTGTTCTCTGCACTCTAGTGAATTTGTGAATGTCGCGATGTTTGAAAAACGAGTTTGTAATAATTAGCCCATTGTAAGTGCAAAAGTCTAATAGTCTATTGCCGTTATTGTTTCGTATTTCTTCTCCATGTTCCCCTAGTACCGTTTTGTATTTGCTGTCTTTCTTGCCTACCCTACTGTTGAAGTCGCCAGCTATATACAGCTTCCCTCTAGCATTTTCCGTTACTTTGTTTAATTCTTCCCAGAACTCATCTTTCTTTTCAGCTTTCTCGTCTTCATTCGGACCATATACACTGATGATTGTGGTTATTGGCCCTTTCTGGTCTTTCAGCTCGATTTCCAATATTCTTTCAGACCACCCTTCCCATCTGTGTACTAATTTCGTCAAATTTCTGTGTAATATGCATCCCACTCCTCCCTTGGCTCGCGTACTTTCTTCCACTCCGCTATAGATTAGCATGTGCCCATTTTCCATTTCTACGACTCCTTGTCCCTTCTTTTTTGTTTCGGACACTGCCAGTACATCTAACTCCGCCTTCTCAAATTCTTCAATTAGCTCGTGCTCTTTTCCATTAATTGCTCGTATGTTCCAAGTACCAAGTTTCCATATTTCCGATTTTGTATGGTTCTGTGTTGTTTCTTTTGCTGTCCTTTTCCACGCATTTGTCGTCGTCTTTGTTCTGATCTGTTGTATGCCTGTTAGTTTTTTGGTAAGCAACCCATACTAGACGCCTTCTTGGAATACGTGGGTTGGGGTGACCTTTGACTAATGGTTCTCGTTCTTGGTTTTTTCCGTACTTCGTTAACTTCGTCCTCTTGCTCATCTGCGCTTGTGATGTCTTCTACGCCATACTCCTCTCCGTTGACAATGAGCTTGTTGTATTTCAGGTATGCGCGATGACCGGACTCTCTTGCTGTTCTTAAATGGGTTGCTAATACTTTCCTCTCCTCTAATACGTGTTTTGGAAAATCTTCGTGTATGTATATGTTTGTACCTTTTAGGTTTTTCGCCTTTTTCAGTACTTCTATTTTGGTTTCGTACTGGGCCAGTTTGATGAATACTGGCCTAACTTTATTCAGATGTTTTGCCCCTATTCTATAGACTTGTTGTATTTCTGTCTCTCCCGTCGTAGTATTCATATCGATGTCTCTTAAAATTTTCTGCGTTGTTTCTTTTAGTTGCAAACGGTCTCATTTTCCTTTTCGGATATTCCATACACCACCAAATTATTTCTTTTACTTTCTTTCTCAAGGTAGTCCATTCTTGAACTTTGCTGCTTTAGGATTCGTTTGAGCTGCTCATTTTCTTGTTTGAGATTCGCGTTTTCCTTTTTTATTTCTACAAGCTGGCGTTGACACTCATCCATCTTACCCTCGATGCGCCCCGTTCTTTTATTTAACTCATCTAATTGGGTACTGATTTTCTCCAATATACCTTCCATTTTGTTAGTAAAATTGTTTGTATATGTATGTGATAAATGCGGTATTTGTAAACAAAGTGTAATCGATTGTTCGTTATCGTCACCGTTTGTGATTAACTACGTCACTTACGTGTCTATGTACGCGCGCTCTTATCTTTAGTCTATTGCTATTGTTCATGGCCAATGGTAACAGTAAGTATTCAATCGAATTATAATAAGTATACGTAATAGATTCTTCAGCACTGTCTGACAATTAAGTACTTACACAGTTCAAATATAACTGTCAAAGTTATTGAGTTAGAAAACTAAGTCAAAGTCAACAAAAATTTAAACACCAATCAAATGGGACCTCCGGATTCTCGATGACGCGTCTCTCTAAAGTTACGAGGCAACCTCCTCTCTCTAGTAACCTTGGTCGCCACTGTACTATTTACAACTCTGTGGTGCATACTCTCACTTTTTGTCCCGCGCCAACAGTCATCTATTCTCAAGAAATATCGCTCCCCAAATCATAACTGCTGGTGTACGGGCAGTATGGCGCCCTGCAAAAAACTTGTATACTATAACTGAATTATGAATTTAATTAACCACACTATGTGCATAACATAACCTAAATTAATCAAATTACATTAATTTGAAGTACACTCAAGGTTAGTAGAGAGAGTAGGTTGCCTCGTAACTTTATAGAGACGCGTCATCGAGAATCCGGAGGTCCCATTTGATTGGTGTTTAAATTTTCGTTGACTTTGACAGTTATATTTGAACTGTATAAGTACTTATGTAATTGTCAGACAGTGCTGAAGACTATTACGAATACTTATTATAATTCGATTGAATACTTACTGTTGGATACTTAAGTATCAATATAAAGGGATTAGATGCGGATGGAAATCTTTGTGACGTTTTTATATGCAACAGCAGCTCCAACAAATCGAAAGCAAATGGCAGTTTTTTGCTTTTCCAAAAGGTAATTCCTGTATTACAAAATGAATGGGTTATAAAGTGCAGTGGAAAGGGACACCTGAACCCCGAACTGTGCAGTTTGCATTTCCCGGTCGAAGACTGTGAAGATGAAATGTAAGCTATTTTGAATAAAGTGTGTTTAATATTTCGCTAGTATGTTTCTTTCTATGCAATGCAGGAAGATTTCAGCACATCCATGTAAAGTACCATTTCGATCCACTTTGCATTTTTTGAACTTGCTCTGTTGTTGTTGCGTTAATAATTAATTTTTATGATGTGGACAAAATGGGATGCTGGGTGACGTCATTCGCGTATTTTAATACTGAACGTTTATTGGCTGAAAGTTACGAGGCAACCTACTTTCTCTATTAACCTTGAAGTACACTGATCAACCTGGCGCGATCTAGATGGATTGAGTTTACTTGGCACCGGATTTGATTTATAATGTAATGGTTTGTGACATTTTCAGATCTAAAAACATTGTGTTTTAATTTGGTTTAGATCAGTTGATATCTTCCGATTGTGCATAAGGACTAAAATTTGACAAAATGACATTTTGGCTACTTATGTTTCAACAGCTCTGCTTTCATTTCAGTTCAGTACCAGCTTAAGAGAAAGTATAGAAGCCTGGAATATTGGGACCAATCGTTGGTTACGTATTATTGTGTATGAAAGAGTAAAGAATGCTACAGTCCTAACTTACGCTTTATCCGCCATTTGGCATGGATTTTATCCTGGTTATTACCTGACTTTCGCAGGTGGAGCACTATTTACACTTGCTGCAAGAACCGTAAGTTAGTCTTGTGATGTTACCATTTTTGAAACTAATTTTATATTTTCAGATGAGACGAAGTTTAAGACACTATTTTTTGTACAGTACTGAGAGTAAATTTATTTATGACGTAATTACCTTCTTAGTGACACGTTTGGCTATGGCATACATTACGTTCACTTTTGTTGTATTGGAATTCTGGCCCAGCATTAGATTATACCTGTAAGTATAAAAATAATATACGTCCGCCATTCTATTTCTTCTGGTGAGCATTTGTAATCATTATTTAAGTTTCAGGGCTTTCTTAAAGTGGTTTTGATATTTATTGTGTTAAAAGTGTTTAAAAGTCATCTCCAATAGGAATACTGTTGAAACTCTTGAAAAATATATCCTATACTTGTGCGCGAATTATGTCCGTTCGTGGGGTTAAGATCTCTGCGCTAGAAGCCTGTGTTTTTAATTTATGTAATAGGCATGACCGTAGAGCAGTGGTTCCCAAACGTATTTCCATGGCGCCCCCTTTCTTAAAACTAAAATTGCTCACGTCCCTCGATCACGATTAAAAAATAGATTTTCACTATGGGGCCCTGGGAGATACAAATCCGCTTAGGTAAATGGGAAAAGTTATGGAGAATTTTATGGTGATTAATTTTCCCTCTCAAAGTTTCTTCTAGGTCTACCAATAGCGAAATTATGGCCAAAAAACCGAAAAGTGTAATTTTTGACAATGCTTTGGCGCCCATTTATTTTCAAAGATACCAAAAACCTTAGTGATTTTACTCAACTTTCTGGCAGTGCTAAAAAAATTGTTATGACCCATAAAATATTATGCTTTTCATTCAATTCGGATGTCATAACATCCATGGCTTTTGAGGTCATTTATAGTTCATTCGAGATATCTTCTTTTATAGCACCATCATAAATCTGGATGAAATCATTTGGCAACATTGTGCAATCTTGGTGCTTTCCTCAGAATAGAAAGGGGAATTTACTGAATTGTAGATACCTTCCTATTTGTGTGTAAGAATCGTTCAGATGCAATTTTTCAGAAAAATTCCTAATGTACGTATTTTAAAAGTAAATATTTGCCTCAAACACATCGGGGATCTGCACCCCCTTAACAGAGCCTTGCACCCCCCAGTTTGGCAGACACTGAGTATAATATCAAATAAGTTTCCGTTTCTGAGACACTTCTAGAAGTGAATTTAGACATACTATGAAATAAATTTGCGCATGTGCGGAACATAATGGCGTTTATTCATCTCCTTTTACTGTTTCCTTGTCCAATTATTGATATTTCCCATGACATGTTTCTATTTTTAGGTTCTATTACATATGACATTCATTATTTCGTTCCCCTTTTCTGAAGTGCATGGAAATGAATTAACGAATACAAGCATGGTCTGTCTATAAAAATCGTTACCCCTCCCACTTGAAACCATCCATGTCTTTTCCTCAATCAATATAATGTAAGAATAAAATTGTCAAACAAAAACTGATAATTAGACAAGCAAACAACAAAGCGTTAAATAATGAATAAATGTCACATGCAAACATGGATTTCCAACATGTAGCAATGTTGTAAAAAAATCTTCTTGATGTACAGTACATTCTAACGTTAGTATTTACCTATTGTGATTTCATGGGAAAATTTACAGGTGTTTCTTTTAGCCATAGTAAACCTAGTGGAAAGTTTAAAATTTGGTTTTGTGCACGAGTAAAGAAATTGACATTGTGCATTGCTCAGTTGAAAGATGAACAAGATAATAAAAAACTGTTTGTTTCAGACATATGTACCTGTGCCTTCATATCTTAGCATTGTTGGCGTTGACATTAGTGCCTCGATTGACATCCAAAACTGTTCCTGGTATTTCAAATTCCATTGCAAATGGCAGTGTGGCACATGCCTTGAAACATGCTTCACCTCTAACGAACAGTGTGTCAAATCACCATGACTGATTTTGTAATCCTTCCTACATATCATTGCTTACAGCTTAACACTGTTTAAGTAATTCCTCTTAGTTTCTTCTTTATTATATGCCTTCATGTTTCTATTGAATTTTATATTGAATCTGTAAATGTTCTGTATGTTGTATTTGACATATCTGTCTAACTTGCTCATTGTGATAATGCGTATAACATTTATATACCTGTCTATTGCTCATTGTGTTTAACTTGGTACGAAATGTTTGAATATTTGTCATGTTGGAAACTGTTCACAAAAACTATAAATAGATATTATAAAATAATTGAAAGATATCGTACTTGGTTAAGTACAGTGTAAAATGTTTGGTCAGTTTTTTTGTTGTATGAATTTTAATTTTATTACATATTACATTTGAATTATACCTAATCTGTGATTTCAAACACCTCTTATTTTTACACTACAAATTTGTATCCATATTCATTATGCTTTCTAATTTTTAGGAAGACATTTTTATTGCGCCAAATCAATAAAGTTGCATTTTACAGTATTCCTTCAGTTAGTTATTTAAAAGTTTAGCATCAGTCTTTCATTTTGCAGTTAAACTTATATGATGGGAAAACATCCTATGTGAATATATGCTTGCATGAACATGAACTGTTGAATAGGTTTAACTGAAATATGAATGAACAACTCAAATTAATTTAGATATGATTTCAGTGGTACTAAATATAGACAAAAGTAATTCATAAAACTGTTTGTATCACATTTAAATTGAAAAACCCACAATCTACATTACAAAATCAATACTTATTTATTTGATGACATACCTATTAGTACAATGCATCTTGATTGAAATACTATCCCTAGTGTCTCTGATATAGAATTTTCCATTGATAAAAAATTGGTCTTCCTGTTAATAAATGTCTAGTTTTTAAAAGTGTATATATTTATTAATTTGCAAGATTTATTTTTTAATAAAGTTAATTCAAATATATCTTGAGTCTTAATTTATCGGGAGTAGATGAGCAAAGAGACTTCTAGATCAGGAAGTGACGTCACGCCAATGAGAATCGAGTATTTCGGTCACGTGGTCACGTGTGAGCCAATGGGAGCGCGTGAGTCGGCCATTTTGTGACGTCACATTTTGTGTGTTTTGCTTCCGGTGTTTCTGGATCAGGAAACGCGTCATAGCTGGTGAAATATTTGTCTGAAAAAAAGGCTGCGTCGAGGATTTGAACCGTCGATACGTGAATTACGAATCTGCCGCTTTAACCATCTGGAGCTAAGCGAGGCTTTGAGATATGAACGTTTAGTAGTTCAAGTATTGTTAGAATGGGGGGAATGCTAGAAATTATGAAGCTACAAAGTTTTTTGTGTACGCTCCGCCATAATACAATCTCTACAATAAATCATTAACGGCGCTGGGCCATCGATGTGGGTGCGCTGCCATGGCTGATTCCAATGTTTTGTACATCGTATTCGATTACGCAGCTCACAATCTCTTTGAAATACGGTCGGAATCTGACACTTTTAGTAATCCCGCTCCTTAAACATTCTAAATAATCATTGAAACTTAATCTTTGAATATTATTTATTACACCCATTTTAACTACAGCTATCAAGGTAAGTTTGGTATTGTAACAAATCAATTTTTGTAGGATCTACATTTACATGTCTATAAAATCTATGATACGGCAAACTTTCCAATTCTAGTTGAGGATACATACGTAGACTTTGTTTATCCAGTTCAATTCGATTAACTAAACGATTGTTAGATAACGTTTCATAAATTTCGGTTGCACAGATAATTTTTAGTGTTCTTGCTTGCCATAATTGTTTTAAAAACTTTAAAACACTTTCAGGTAAGTGGATGTACCCGAATAAATTTTCATGTTGAAATGATCGTAATTTAAATTGGTTTAATGTTACAATTGCGCTGATTGTCTTCAATACTCCTAGGTTGATGGTGATAGATTAATTTGGAAACGCCTTCTGTAGTATTTACAAACTGGAATTGCACTAGACCTGCTGACAGCAAAATTTCTTCTTCTTGAGAAATGCGGAGAGTTTGACGATGACCATCAATAACTGGTAAACTGGCAAACACAGTATCAACAAAAGCTTCATCGATATCTTCCATTATGATTTTTTTTTTAAAACGTGCTGAAATAATTGTATTAAATAACATTGAAATTGAGAAGAAGCATCAACATATTTATATGAGGATTCGCTATGGTCACAAGGCCTTTTAAGATAAAACACTCTTACCAGATATTCGCTGCTTAAAAGAGGATTTCTGCTTTGAAGTATTAGCAGTTGAGACAATCTGCTCACATGCACATACAAATGCAATGACTTAATTGAAATGCGTCAGCTTAAATACATTTCGATGTAGATAAGACACGATGCTGCTTCCGCTCAGAAATTTCTAGAAACACTGACAGGACGTTGCTTCCGCTATGATTAGATAAAGATTGAAATAAAATCCGAGTGCAGTTAACGTCTCAGCCAGTGCTTCGAGCGAACTAGTTTGCGGCGTTATTTGGTGAGTACGATTTTAATGACTAATTTTGTTAAGTAGCAGTTAGATTATTCATTTTTTCACTTATTTATTTGTTACAGATATTTACTGCTCATAATAATGGAAGAATTTGATTTCGCCTCCTTGAACTCATCTACCTATTGTAAGCCATTCATAAATGCAAAAGATCTGGAAATCGGAAATAAATACGATACCCAATTACTGATATCGGTGTGATCGGCACCAAGTTTGGAGATCGAATTATGGTTGAAAAGGAGACATTCAAGTGCATACTGCCGCAGCGTTATCATACATACCTCACAGAAGAAAATCGGCTAGAGTTCCTCAAGTTGACCGTAACAAATAAAGTTGTATTTATATCTAGTATAGGAGCGGTGGGCTCAACAACGAATTTACAAATAATTACATAACCCTAATTTGAAATATGAATAAAGGTGTTAACAGAGATATAGATGTGGGGAGATTGCGTGTCAACATGCGCAATAGTCAGATTATGAATGTCGCCATCTTCTAAGTAGGTATATGCTACGGGGGCTTGTTAAAAACTGCATACAATGTGCTTTCAAAAAGTTCCTGTGCGTTTCCTAACATGTTGAACAAGTATATTGTGTTGCCTATATCACAATGCATCGATACATTCCCTAGTTGTGAAACTACCTACAATGCTAATAATTAGTCCAAGAACTGAAGCGTCAAGACCACAAACAACGTCATACGTTCGCTTGTATTTTTTCTGTGTACTTTCTCGCCAAATTAAAAAACCTTATTCTACAATATGAAAAAATAATATTTTTGATAAGCAAAAATCCGTGATTCTCGTCACAAATATTAAATTCTAAAAAATGCTCATGCAAACTAGGAAATAACGTGTACAGTTCTTGGTAAAATTTTTGTGCAATGGCGGTGACAAAATATTCCATGAAACCTTTTTCATTTGGAATTTTGTTTCCAGTTGAATGCATGATATTTCTAATTGCCACCTCTACTTTTGTGCAAATTTTCACCACTGCAATTGATGGTACATATAAGCCTCCTGCAATTTAAAGAAATATTAGTTAAATAAGGACTTTTCAACAATCTAACTAGGTATACCTCTGTTTTTAAAGGAAATTAGAGAATAGGAACCTTCTCTAATGTCTTCCTGCGATTCACATGCCAGCACACATTCTTCACATTTATGTCGCCTTTGTAACATCTTAATTACATATCCACTTATATAAGTGACAACATTTGATAAGATTTCACTTAATTCAATTGTTTCACTGCACACATAATCATGATCGAGTATTTGTTCTTTTGGCTCAAGAGCATAATTATATTTTCGGTATAATGATAGGTACATCTAATGATTGTTCCAAATGTGTGGCAGTGCTTGGTACGCTAAGAACAGTGGTGGCGTCTAATACTTTACAATTCCCGGATCCCTGGTCAATTTTGGTGTGGAGCAATAATCTCATTGTTCGCATAAATTGTAAGCAAGATGGGTTATTGTTCCATCCATTTTTACTTCTGAAAAATGATTCACATTAAACATGAAGTATTACTTTCCAGGATTAATACTTGCCTTATTGAGCAAAAAAATATTTCTAAGTGATCCTGTGATACCTTGTAGGTTAAAAAGTATTTAAGTTTTTCTACTTTTACCAAGGAATCATAAATTCTACAAACGGAAAATGAGGTAATTGCAAACCCCAGGAAAGGCGTTTTTTTAGGAGTCATATGTAAAGGTCTGCCTCCAACATCCGTACACCTTAATAAGTAATGAACTGTATTTAAAATAAACGGTCTCCAAACAGCTTCATTACATAATCTTAGGGGAGCCTTAAACCCTGATGCTCGGGGACCACTGGAGTTTAACAAATCGAAAAGATCATTAATTTTTCTAATGAAGTCAACGGTGGCTTCGCTCCCTTTAAACTCTTCCGGATGACGAGTGTTCAAATATTCGATGGCATCTGCCACACTCCTACTTAATGTTTGTGCTGCTAAATGCACCTAAAATAATTAATATAGATTTAAATTTCACATAACATAGAACATAGTGCTTACTTTCATTTTTTGTCTGTACTATTCCATGTGGGCACGTTTTAATTTATTCGCAACCAGGGCCGGATTATCCACTAGGCAAACTAGGCAATTGCCTAGGGGCGCACGGATCAATGGGGCGCCGCGCCCGGGCACCGACACCACGCACCGAACGTGTACGCGATAATTTTCTATCACCAGCAGTCACGTATCACTATTACAATTACATTATACATAAGACAAAAAACTAATTGTTGAGCCTATCTTATTATGTAGTGTGGCGACAGCACCGTGCACCGTCAGCATACAGCACCGCCGAGGCGCCGACCGCAGTTAATAATTTGCAGTTGCAGATAAGCATAAGATAACAGACAAAACATATCCCATTCATAAAGTACAAGTACAACCAAATGGCAACTAATAATTCCATATATGAGTTAGTTAGTCGGAGATATTTTCTCATTAGTCTGATTAGTCATTCATGATTCATTACATTCTGCCTCTAATTTCTGTTTCGATCTACGTCTAAAGGTGTGAATGTGATTTTTATTTCTCCTCGTTATTTCGTATATGGTATATCACGTATATACAAATGCAACGAAGTTGTAAGCTTATTTTTTAACGATTCAATTCGAACGAGAACCCATAAAATTAAAAAATTGAAATGAATACGAAACTTAGTGGAGCCAAAAGGAGAAAGTTAGATAAGGTGAAGAAAGATAGATTGGATGAAGAGCTAAAACATGTTCGCAAATTAAACACCTATTTTCCCTCTAAGTCCACGGACGCTGATGTCGACGGTGTCGGTGATGTTGCTCTTGCTGCTGTGCTGAGGGTATGTAAAAAGTGATGTTATAAAAGAATTCTGTTGTAAAAAATCACGCAAAAATATTTAATTTAAATTTCTAGCTTGGTTCCTAATTATTGTTCACAATGCATTATAATATCATCCATTAGGCTGCATTGTAGGGTAGCTATAAAAGAATCCTACTGTAAAAAAATTACACAAAAATATTTAAGTTTGAATTTTAGTTTAGTGTATTGTTCTTTTAATAAACAACACATTATAATTAATTAACTTTTTTGTATTCTTACTAGGAAAAGAGGGGGAGGGGGGCGCCAGTAGGGTTTTGCCTAGGGGCGCATACACAGTTAATCCGGCCCTGTTCGCAACATGTAATCCCTCTGCTTCTTGTAATTTATACAATTCCTTGACATACACCCACCTTACAAGATCTCCATCAGGATTTTTAATCGTGTCTAAGTTTGACCAATTATTTCTGATCAATTTCAGCATATGACATGCATCTAATACACAATATACTTTATTAGTTGCAGAAGGATGACTAAACCAGGTTTTCATGTCAAACACATTATCTAGATTGCATTTCCAATTTTCATCTGTTTTTCCAAGTAGTGTTAACCACACTTTTCGTAGTTCACCTTTAGGGAAACTGAAAGAATACAAATTTTGATTTATAATGTATAAATGCTACATTTACTTAATACTTACCTATGGAATGTAATTTCTTTATCCATCTTAGGAAATTTTCGATTGTTTTTACAACAATTTACAGCACAACTTGCCATTGCTAATACCTAATCTAATATTTAACAAAACTATTCACAAACAAATGTTGAATCACTTATTACAATAAAAAAGGTCCTTAAATGTATTTGAAACAGTTAACACGTAAAAATGCACAGGAAATAGGCAGTATACACTCAAGCAAAAATAACACACGCACAAAAAATCATTTTCTATAAACCAATAATAAATAATTTAATTGTCACAATTTAAAAACAATTTCCACCCAAACGCACAATAACATAGAACGTCAGCTGATCAAAGTACTTAGAATCATATATATAAGAGAAGTATATGGATAACCGCCTATGATTGCAATGTGCAAATTGTTCGCCATAAAAGAGAGCTGCCCTATTCCTTAGTCCTCAACTCTGTATTTATGCGCAAACTCCCCAAGTAAATATTTACTTCTCTCCGCCTACTTTTAAGTAGCGCCAATTTCAAATTTCATAACCTATAACTCGAAAATAGGGTTAAAATTTTATTAAACCATTATTGTGTGCAATTACCATATGTAAACACAACCACGCACCATTCGGAAACTTCACCCAGACTTCTATTCGCTTCATGCAGGTTCATATTCACCACATTGGCCCCATTCCACCTGCCGACTCCTATCACTATTGTCTGATCCTGTGATGTCTTTAGATAAGTATACTAGCTGGCCGAGGCCCACCCTCCCAAGACCAATCGCCGCCGAAGCGTTTCTTACCTGTTGACTATATCGCTTCGATTCCCCTACTAGCATCTTCACCGATCAGCGACGACAATTTGAATCTTCCCTTTTTTGTGCCCTCAACATTGTTTTCGGCACACAAGGATTCGGGACCTGCAGTCAATGGCCTACTTGAATGATTTCACTGCCAACTCAAATCAGCGCTCACGTGCCACCCAGTGCGTTCTGGTTCAAGGTACTCCGTATCGTTCTGCTTGGAAACTGTAGCATTTTCACGGAGAACTTTCGAGCTTCCTCAGCGGAGTTTGTTTACGGTTACACCCTTCAACTTCGAAGGCAAACTTTGTAACGATTTAGAAACTTAAATTGCAATTGAAATAATATACCTATAGGGATTATATCTTGAATATAACATGAAATTGGATAAGTTCGCATCAGCTATAATATAAAGTGATACATTACCAATGTTCAAAGAAACACAATTAAATTAAAGACATTTACTGATTTTAAAATAAAATTAACATTGTCGAGTTGGAAATCTTTTAGGTGTTAAGTGACCCCCATATAACTTCGTGCCCCCATCATGCTTGCGTGCATCCAAATCAATGCAGTCATAGCGGTTAAAATGACGAGAACACAACCTTGTTTTTACATCATCGAATTCCGATAGTTCACATGCTTGCAGTCACCGATTCTTGTTGCTTTTTTCACTTGGGAATCTAATAACAAGTATGGCATAAATGAATTGATTGCAGATAATTGCATTGTAACTTACTTGTGCCATGAAACCGAAGAATCCACTTTCCCACAAGTACCTGCATTTCTTTATTTCTAAGTAATGAACACACTAAAATTGCCAAACATTAGGTATTCCTTTACAATTATTGTGTATCACTTACGTATACTGATTTATATAACTACGAAAGGCTTCTTTACTATTAAAATTAAACAAAAGTTCAATAACTCATAAACAAAACAAACAATTTAACCTCAATCCGTTATGTCAAACTGGAGTAAATGCTTGGTAAATAACACTACATAATAACAGGCAAGCGCATTAGCGCCTAGTTCCCAACTAATGACAGAAGTATATTTCCATCCACTAACGTTGGCGATAGGCGTGTCCACTCGTTTATCCATATACTTCTCTTAATATAGGTATATGATGGAAATATACTTCTGTTCTGTCATTAGTTGGGAACTAGGCGCTAATGCGCTTGCCTGTTATTATGTAGTGTTATTTACCAAGCATTTACTCCAGTTTGACATAACGGATTGAGGTTAAATTGTTTGTTTTGTTTATGAGTTATTGAACTTTTGTTTAATTTTAATAGTAAAGAAGCCTTTCGTAGTTATATAAATCAGTATACGTAAGTGATACACAATAATTGTAAAGGAATACCTAATGTTTGGCAATTTTAGTGTGTTCATTACTTAGAAATAAAGAAATGCAGGTACTTGTGGGAAAGTGGATTCTTCGGTTTCATGGCACAAGTAAGTTACAATGCAATTATCTGCAATCAATTCATTTATGCCATACTTGTTATTAGATTCCCAAGTGAAAAAAGCAACAAGAATCGGTGACTGCAAGCATGTGAACTATCGGAATTCGATGATGTAAAAACAAGGTTGTGTTCTCGTCATTTTAACCGCTATGACTGCATTGATTTGGATGCACGCAAGCATGATGGGGGCACGAAGTTATATGGGGGTCACTTAACACCTAAAAGATTTCCAACTCGACAATGTTAATTTTATTTTAAAATCAGTAAATGTCTTTAATTTAATTGTGTTTCTTTGAACATTGGTAATGTATCACTTTGTATTATAGCTGATGCGAACTTATCCAATTTCATGTTATATTCAAGGTATAATCCCTATAGGTATATTATTTCAATTGCAATGTAAGTTTCTAAATTGTTACAAGGTTTGCCTTCGAAGTTGAAGGGTGTAACCGTCAACAAACTCCGCTGAGGAAGCTCGAAAGTTCTCCGTGAAAATGCTACAGTTTCCAAGCAGAACAATACGGAGTACCTTAAACCAGAACGCACTGGGTGGCACGTGAGCGCTGATTTGAGTTGGCAGTGAAATCATGCAAGTAGGCCATTGACTGCAGGTCCCGAATCCTTGTGTGCCGAAAACAATGTTGAGGGCACAAAAAAGGGAAGGTTCAAATTGTCTTCGCTGATCGGTGAAGATGCTAGTAGGGGAATCAAAGCGATATAGTCAACAGGTAAGAAACGCTTCGGCGGCGATTGGTCTTGGGAGGGTGGGCCTCGGCCAGCTAGTATACTTATCTAAAGACATCACAGGATCAGACAATAGTGATAGGAGTCGGCAGGTGGAATGGGGCCAATGTGGTGAATATGAACCTGCATGAAGCGAATAGAAGTCTGGGTGAAGTTTCCGAATGGTGCGTGGTTGTGTTTACATATGGTAATTGCACACAATAATGGTTTAATAAAATTTTAACCCTATTTTCGAGTTATAGGTTATGAAATTTGAAATTGGCGCTACTTAAAAGTAGGCGGAGAGAAGTAAATATTTACTTGGGGAGTTTGCGCATAAATACAGAGTTGAGGACTAAGGAATAGGGCAGCTCTCTTTTATGGCGAACAATTTGCACATTGCAATCATAGGCGGTTATCCATATACTTCTCTTATATATATGCTTAGAATATGGCCGCCACCATACATGGGGAAAAAAATTGGATGCGCACTCGTCGATGCTCAATCTCCCCCCATCTATATCTCTGGTTATATCACTTGCTTACTGTAATCGAAAAATTATCAATGAAAAGAAGTATAAAGCACTATTTTATTGATGCACAAAAATCTAGGACAATTGTAAGATTATGAAAATGAAGACCTTAAGAAGTGTTTTATTAACTACCATGAAGATTTAATTAAATTTCGCCAAACCAGCAGGGCCGCCCAGAGGGGGGGGGGCAACTGGGGCGATTTGCCCCAGGCCCCCGTGTTGGCCGTGGATCTGTGAGGATGAATGAAACAGCAATAGAGTTGCCACATTTTCATTTGTACGGCCGATGATTTTTTGCAAAGAATAGAAAATGACAACATGTGGCTGTTCCCGGTAAAATAATGCGGTAAATCACTTGTCGGCATAATAAACATTGTGCACAACTCTTGTGCAGATAAAGCGCATTTAAAAAAAAAAAATTGAGTATCAAGATGTACTTAAATGTGTATGTACATATACATAATTATGTGTTTATAACCAATTGAAGATTGTAGAACATAACATATGCCAGTAAATTTCTAAAATAACATTTTCTTTAACATTTTTTCTATTCCAAAACAGGGCCCCAAAATTTACTTTGTCCCAGGCCCCTGAAATTGTCTGGGCGGCCCTGCAAACCAGACAACGTGCCGTTTTTTATCTTGCCTATGAAATGATATTCCTGCTGGACACCGACCACTGCAATTTATATACAGCTGTACGCAGAACAATTCACCACGTTTATATCACACAGTTTTGCACACACAAACTTTATCAATAATGAAGAAAGGTCAATAAATTCACACTGCCACCACGCTTTGCCTGCCACCGAAAATATGGCGGTCGTCTCGGAATTCGCGTCAAATTCACGCATGCCGTGGATGCGATGCGGTATTACCATATATACATATAAGATATTACGGGTCCCCTCTTTCCTTGTCTAAGATTTTACATACAGTGCGACCATGCTCAGAAAAGCCCCGGAAAATATGCGAACTAACTTTGAAAAAATTCAGGCTAGCCAATAGAAAGTCTGCAAAACGACGCGATACATTCCGCGCCATAATTATTAATTATTCCGTTTTGACAGTTCACGCTTCACATTATTTTAGTTTACACTTTGCTTCTTGTATTTGCTTTATTTTACGTTTTCCGTCTCCAGTTTTATATAAACTCGTCTTTTTCAAGACGCATATAGCTTGGATATACGATCTGATAAGGTATGTAATTCCCTTAAAGTGTTTTTAAATTTTGCATCAGAATGTACGGTCTAAATTCCTAGCGCCCTCGGACATGCCCTGTCAGTGACTTTCTGAGCGTGGTGCCACTGTAGTTTCTTTAGATAAGACAGGGTTAACATGAGAGTATTGTGTAATAAATCGGTCAGTGAGAAATCTAATATTTTATTTCATAACTGTTATAAGTCGCATATCTTGCGGATGTACTGTTTTGCAACACGAATTAATGGCGATACCTAGCTTCATTACAACTAGGTACTTTGGATTGGAAACAAAACTTCCAATTTAGTTTATTAAAAAATTTTATTTTTTTTATTTACGAAGGGTATTTCGGCAACCGCTTTCTCTGGGTAATGTTTGAGGTTATATCTGTGACGTACACTGTATGTGACATACAATA